AGAGAAAATCTATACAATATAATAGATTTCACATTATCAACTTTTTGACATACTAGACATTTATAGAAGATTCTACCAAAATACAATCATGTGCTACTTTTGAAGTACACAAGGAACATTTAACAAGATGGACCATTTTCTAAGACAAAATCTCAATAAGTTTTAAGACATTCTAATTATGCAAATATGCTCTTATCAAGTTTAATTCAATTTAAGACAAGATAATGCCTGAAAATATACAAAAAATTTGGAAACTGAGAAGCACACATGTAAACTATAAAGAGAAATGGAAGTGAAATTACTACAAATAATCTGAATACCAGCAATTCATAATTAGAAACTGATTTTTAAAAAAATAAGAATCAACTTAATGAAGGTAGTGAAAGACCTCTACACTGAAAGCAACAGCATACTAAAGAAAGAAATTAACAAAGACACTAGAAGATTCAATGCAATCCTAGTCAAAAATCCCAATACAAATTGAAAACTTTATTCTAAAGCTTATGTGGAACTACTAATAATCCAGAATGACCAAAAGAACTTTAAAAAAAGAGGGATACATTTGGAGGACATGCAACAACTATTTTTGAAAATTGTATACAACTGCAGTAATTATGACAGTGCCATATTAGCATAAAGAGGGACATCTGGATCAGTGGAACAGCATTGAGTGTGCTACAATAGATCCATGGGTACACATGATTTCCAAGAGAATGGTCAGGGTGATTCAATGAAGATAGGTCACTTTTTCAATTGTGTACTAAAACTGGCTCATACCAGCTTTCAAGAAGCCATTTTATAGATCCCTTCAGCACACCATAGTCAGTAATGTCATGTTGTTAGCCTAGTGCCCACTGGTATGAATAGCTACACTAAAAAAACTGACAAACACTACACAGGGGAGCTTCTCCCTTAAACTCTCCATTGCTTGTTGTTAAATATTTGTCAGCATTCCACTTCAGATATTTATAGTTTTTGTGGTGGTAATGATTTTACTGGTATGTACATATATTAGAATTAATCAAAGTGAATACTTCAAAGATATGTAGTTTATTGCACACCAATTATAATTTGATAAATATATTTTTTATTCATTAAGTTTAATGGTATATTTTAGGTATACAATATGCTGATATTCATCATTGGAAATTTGTACTTTTACATGATATATCTTGGTTCTTATTTTTTGCCATCTCCTTGCCCTCCCTTCAACCCCTCCACCCCTCCCTATTTACAAAGATTTTGTTTCCATTTTTTCCTTTTCTCATATTTATTCCTTTCCTTCTAAAGAGGAAGGGGACATGGGAGGGATAAACATGTTTTTGAAATAGTAACAACTCGGGGAGAAAGTTAGTCATACACAATTAATTTAGTATGAGTTTTTAAAATGTATTTTGTTTTATTATCAGCAAACACTGGATGTAAAAAGATGGTAGAATAGTATTTTCAAAGAGTTGAAGAATAAAGAACATTGACCTTGAACTTTATATACAGCCAAACTAAAAGGCAAAAAATGGTGCATTGATAAAAGTTATTTCATGTCTATAAATGTTCAGAAATTTCACCACATATAGACCCATACTGAAAAAAAATTAGGAAGAAAAGTCTAAGAGGTACTC